ACACTAGGGGTCTGGGATGGAGGGGGAGGGGGGCACATTGTTGGGGTCTGGGCTGTGGGTGGGCTTTGGGTCTTGGGGGCGGTCAGTGGTGGGGCCGGTGCTTCGGTTCCTCCTGGGCTGTTCCGATTCTTTTAATCTAGGTTCCTGGTTGCGATGGCCGGCACTTTGACCGGGGTGGCTGCCGGCTTTCGGCGGGGGGTCGGCTATGGTAGTGTACGTGTGGTCATTGGTGGTGTAGGGCGGCGGTTGGGGGCGTGGCTTCGCCTCATCGGGGCACTGGCTGGTCTTCCTGTGTGGCATTTGCGGTGGGGGTGCTGTGTGTGTGGGGGGGTGCATAGGTGGCGTGCTGGGGCGTCTCCGGGCCTATGGTGCGGGGCTCTTGATGTGGGGGCCGGCCCTCCTCAGCTGCGGCTCCCTGCTGCTCTGCCCTTTGGGCTGGGGCCGGCCTGTGGTCGCTGTCAGGTAGATGGTGCATGCTATCTGTGTGTGCCTGTTGGTTGCTCAGGTTGGGTTTTTGGTGGTACCCCTCTCTTGGATCAATTTGGGCCCCACATTTGGTGTGGGGCCCACTCCCCCCGGTCGTGCCCCCCTTTGGCGGGGGACCCCCTTGCCGCCGGTGCATTGGTGGCTCTCGGTGTCTGGGCTGGGTGGTTTGGTGCATGTCGGTCTGCCCTGGTTGCTGCCTGGCGGGGCCTGGGTGCCCTGGCTCTGTCGGGGCTCTGCCGGGGGGTGGTATGGCCTCGGGGCTTGGGGCTCGGTGTCCATGGCCGGATCTACTTGGGGGGGCATGGGTCGCCGGCCGGACCTGTGGGCTCGTCGCTGCAGCTTCCTGGAAGCTCTGCATTGTGGTGGCTGGGGTCACCCGGTTCTTTCCTCTGCTCCTCTCTGGGGGGGTGCGGTTCTCCCTGTTGGGAGACTTCTGGGGCTCCGGGCCTGTGGGCCGCTGTGTGTCTGTGGCTCCGGTCCTCCCTATGTTGCCATTGTGTCCTGGGGGACGGGTCTGTGGGCCCCCGCGTCCACTATTGGGCATTCTTTTGGAGAAATCTGGTGGTGGCAGGCGTGCTTGCGCGGGTGTTTGGATTCAGGTGCTGTGACAGATGCACGCTAGGTTGGGTAGTGGTGGAAGCTAGATGATTCCTTGTGCAATGTCGAATGTTTCATGGTGATATTGTGGGTGGCATTGTGCTGTGCATGTTGTTTTGTCGTGGTGGTCTCTCGT